GAGTTCAGCGAATTATAAACATAATAAAATTGATTTTTGTTAGAAATAAAATCTATAGCAAGTGCACTGTGTATTGTGATTTTGCTGTGTCATAATGACACCAAAACACAAATGTAATCGTGATGACTGTTCGACCGAAAATGTAAACGGAATGAAAACCAAATGCATTAAATGTGGAAACTTGTGTTATTTGAAATGTTTCGGATTGGGAAAAAGTGAAAACATTGAAAACACCGAAATAGTGAAAATTCCATTGCCGAATGGAAGTTCCATGTTTGCTTTTTTACCGTTTTGTGCATTTGTTTGTTGTGCCGACGCTGTGTCAAACGGTGAATTGAAAAAATCTCTGAAATTGCCAAAAGCTACCCGCTCCACGTCAAAATCACGTCAATCGGAAAGTAATGAGATATCAATGCAAATACAGGGGGAGGAAAAATTTTTAAGCCTGACATATAGACGGCACTAGTTACAAATTGTTCTTGTGCTGTAATTGACGTACGAACTGTCAATAGTATTGCAGAAAAAAATTGAGTTGATATCTGTCGTCGTTTGTTTTCAACATCATTGCATACCAAGTAACCTCGATATTTTTGAAAAAATGGATAAAATCGAATATCGTGCGGTGATTAAGTTTCTCACAAAAGAAGGTGTGACACCAAAGGATATCAATGATCGCTTGCGTGCTGTTTATGGGGTCCTTGCCCCATCGTATGCCACAGTAAAACTATGGGCAAAACAATTCAAGTGGGGTAGAGAATCATTGGAAGATGATCCTCATACAGGTCGACCAATTGAAGCAACAGCTTCAGATGTAGTGCAAAAAATTGAACATCACGTGCACGAAAATCCTCGAATGAGCAAGAAAGTGTTAGCAGCAATGTTTGACATCTCAGAGAAGAGTATTTACAACATACTTCATGAAAAATTGCACATGAGAAAGGTTTGCTCACGATGGATTCCAAGAACGTTGAACAAATCACAAAAAGAAGAACGAATTGCTGCTGCACACGAGTTTCTCGAGTTGTTGGAATGGAATGAAACGGACACATTTGAGCGAATAGTGCCTGGCGACGATTCCTGGATCCACTACTATGATCCAGAGCTCAAATCACAGATGATGGAATGGCACAAACGTGGTGAACCAGCATCGAAAGTGCCACGCAAACAAATTGCCACAAACACAGTAATGGCCTCTGTATTCTGGGATGCCAAAGGCATATTATTGGTTGAATTCCTTCCAAAGAATACCACAGTCACGGGCTATTATTATGCTCAACAAATGCATAGATTGCGTAAAGCGATCAGAGAAAAGCGTCCTGGTTTGCTCACTCGAAAAGTTCTTCTTTTGCATGACAATGCACCGCCTCACAAATCATTGCTTGCACAAGCTGCCATCAGGGAATGTGGGTTCGAACAACTCCACCATCCACCGTATTCTCCAGATCTGGCACCCAGCGACTATTTCCTGTTCCCAAACACCAAAAGATATCTAAAGGGGAAGCAATATGAGTCCGAAGAAGAGATATCGAACGATATTTTCAACGTATGGGAGGACAAAGATGCCGAGTGGTTTGAAGGAGGAATTAAAGCATTGAAGCATCGATATGAAAGTGTCATTCGTGTTCATGGAGACTACTTTGAATAATAAATATAGTCATTTAAAAATACAATGTGTGTTTCTATATCAGGCTTAAAAATTTTTCCTCCCCCTGTAATTAATGAAATGAAATTGCTACGAAAATCAATTGATGAAAATGGAGAGAAAATTGACAGAATCGATGAAAAAACCAATGTCATTCACCAAGCAACTGATGTGTTAGTGAATAAAGCCACCAGACCGTCTCTTTTACAGCGTGCTGAAAAACAGCAATTAACACCGAAACCAACGAATTTAAGTGATTTTCAATCCCCGTCGACATCGAAACAATCCACATTTGCCACAGTCGTGCGAAAAAGTCAATCGGCCAAACGTCAACGAGTTGAAGAACCAGCGCCAAAAAAGAATGTACCGGCAGCGAAAATTGGAACCAAATCAGTTCAATGCACATTAACTGTCTCACCGCCAAAGAAACGCGAAGAAAAGCCAAAGTTTGAAAGGGCAGTTTGGGTATCGAGATTTCGGCCTGAAGTGACAAATGAACAAGTTATTGATTTAATTGCCGAAAATACGTCCATCAATGACAAAAATCGAATCAATGTGCACAAACTTGTGAAAAAAGACTGTGATTTGTCATCATTAAAATTCGTTTCGTTTAAAATTGAATCAAATGCCGAAGATTTCGAAATATTAAATGATCCAAATATGTGGCCTGAAAATATCATGGTGCGTCCGTTTTTACAAGATTTGACATTGTCAAATTATTTCCCGGCTTTAAACGAAACAGTGAACAGAAAATCGAATGTCGAACCAATGAATGTATCGCCGGGCAAAATGAAATCACCAACAACGAAAACAGCTCAATGTCACCAACAACGAAAACATCCAGTTAAAAACATTGCAACAAAATGATCATTCTACGCAATTTGTTCCTAATTACACAAAATTGAATGTGTATATACAAAATACACATTCAATTAGAAACAAAGTCGATGAAATACGATTAGCAACAAAATCATGTCCATTTGAAGTGATTTCTTTCTTCGAAACGTGGTTGTGTGATTTCAATCAACCCGGTGTCAAATGGATCAAAGCCGATGATGGTGATTATTTTCTGCCAATGAACGTGTTGACAGAGGGTGGCATTGCAGTTTTTGACACAATGTTCGATTGTGGATTCCACCAATTGTCAAATATCGAAAATCCAGCCGGAAATGTTTTGGATCTTGTATTCACAAACAAGTTTTATGAAATGTCATTGATGGAATCAACCAAACCATTGGTTAAACCTGTCAATTGGCACAAGGCAATCGAAATCGAATTCACAATTGATGGAAATGCACCAACAACACATCAATCATCGCAAATATATGCGTTTAACTCAGCTGATTTTGATGCAATGAATGCATTCTTCATTGAAAATGACATTTTGTTGGGAATAAATCGAATTGATGGCCTCGAGAATGCATTCCAAATTTTTGGCAATGTTCTACACGAGGCAATAGACTCATTTGTTCCAAAGATCACCGTACAAAGAAGCACTGACCCACCATGGTTCACGAAACAACTTAAGCATATGAAAAATATCCGAAGAAAAGCGTACAAACGAGCAAGGGAGACTAGCAATTTCGACGAATACAATGGCATCACCGATTCGTTCATGCAGTTACAACGGCAGCTCTTCATTTACCAAATGTCGACATTTTTTGGTCCTTCGAATCTAATGAAGAATTTTATTTTGCGCAAAATAATTTTTAAAGTTGTTTTTTTTTTTGAATCTTAAAGTGATAAGATTTTATATATTAAAGACCCTAGTGGCAAATATTTAAGTCCGAAGTGGCAAATATTTAAGTCCGAAGTGGCAAATATTTAAGTCCGAAGTGGCAAATATTTAATATAAATATTTTTAAAGACCCAAGTGGCAAATATTTATTTGAAAAGTCCCAAGTGGCAAAATATATATTCAAAAAGTCCCAAGTGGCAGAATATTTAATATAAATATTTTTAAAGACCCTAGTGGCAAATATTTAATATAAATATTTTTAAAGACCCTAGTGGCAAATATTTACTTGAAAAGTCCCAAGTGGCAAAATATATATTCAAAAAGTCCCAAGTGGCAGAATATTTAATATAAATATTTTTAAAGACCCTAGTGGCAAATATTTAAGTCCGAAGTGGCAAATATTTAATATAAATATTTTTAAAGACCCAAGTGGCAAATATTTACTTGAAAAGTCCCAAGTGGCAAAATATATATTCAAAAAGTCCTAAGTGGCAAATCTTCAATATAAATATTTTTAAAGACCCAAGTGGCAAATATTTATTTGAAAAGTCCGAAGTGGCAAATATTTAATATAAATATTTTTAAAGACCCTAGTGGCAAATATTTATTTGAAAAGTCCCAATTGGCAAATATTTAATACAAATATTTTTAAAAAGACCCTAGTGGCAAATTTTTATTCAAAAAATCCCAAGTGGCAGAATATTCATTTGAAAAGTCCCAAGTGACAAATATTTAATACAAATATTTTTACAGTCCTTAGCGGCAAATTTTTATTCAAAAAAGTCCCAAGTGGCAGAATATTTATTTGAAAAGTCCCAAGTGGCAAATATTTAATACAAATATTTTTAAAGACCCTAGTGGCAAATTTTTATTCAAAAAAGACGCAAGTGGTAAATATTTTAAAGACCTAGTGGCAAAATATTTATTTAAAAAGTTCTAAGTGACAAATATTTAACAGAAATATTTTTTTTTAAAGCCCAAGTGGCAAAATATTGTTTTGCAAATATTTAACATAAATTTTTGTTAATATAAATTTAATCTGAGAAATGGCAAACGTAAATAATTTATCACAAGTGATTGTTAAGCAGAAAGAAGCAGAAGCAGAGTTAAAACGATTAATGGAAAATTTTAAAAAAGAAAATAAAGAGCAATTGAAAAAATTAGACCGGTTGAATAAATGGACTGGTTTAATTAATGCATCGTGGAATGAGTATGTGGAAGGTCATAGAATTTTACACGATAATCAGAGTAATAAGGAAGTTGAAAATTACTTAAGATACGCTCAGTCTTTTGAGTTTTATGATAATATAGTTAAAGAAACCATTAAAAATATACAACAAAAAGTTGTTGTTTAAGAGTATGATTATTGATAATAAAATGCTGAACGACGTTCAACGGATGCAGTATTTGCAAACAAATATGGCTCTAAAAGCGTCAAAAATAATTGACCAACTGGGATTGCAAAATTTCAATATAGCTTGGAAATTGTTGCAAGGTCGTTATGATAATAAACGCGCTATCAACAATATGTTTTTAGATAACTTAATGGATTTACCAAGAATGACTAAAGATACTCAAGCAGACATGCAGCAATTAATTGATACTAGTAGAGAATTTATTGCTTTGCTTGAGGGAATGACAATGGAGGATATCATTTTAAGATTATTGAGTAAAAAATTGCATCCAAGAAGTCTGGAAAATTATGAATCAACATTAAAAAATCCAAAAGAACCACAAAAATTAGAAGATTTTTATCTATTTTTGGAGCAAAGATCCCAGATTTTGGGTTCTGTTGAGGCTGAAAATGGTTACTATAAAAAACCATTCACAAAGGAAAAAAATAAAAAAGTTTTGTTTAAAAAATGTGTAGATTGCGGGGATGCAAGGCATCCAATTTATTTATGTGACATTTTCAAAAGGCGAAATATGAAAGAGCGTCAAAGAATTGTAAGAGAAAATAATCTTTGTCATTTATGTTTAAAATCAGATCATGCATATAAATTTTGTAAATCAAATTTGAAATGTAGAGAGTGCGGAAAGAGGCACAATACATTCTTACATTTGGATAATGAGCTTGAGTCAAAGCCAACTATATCATATTCAAAGTCGAATACTTCATATTCAAAGCCAGGTACATCATATGCTAAACCAAGTGCAGCATATTCGAAGAATAATCACCAACAAAAAAAGGCGTTCTTGTGTACTGCTGAAGAAAAGGAAAATAGTGATGAATCAACTGTAGCATGTGTTGCTTCAAGTCAAAACAAGGGCTCAAAGGTTTTGTTGGCAACAGCTAAAATTAGAATTAAAACTGATTTTGGGTGGTCGGAAGAATTTGGTGCATTATTGGATCAGGGATCTATGGCAACGTTTATAACTGATGATGCAGTAAAGAAATTAAAATTAAAAAAGGAAAAGAATAATGTGTCAGTTTCTGGGATTGGAGGTGTTAAAACTGAAAAATCTTTGGGAAGTGTGAATTTGGAGTTTACAGCACGTTATCCAAGTGCATTTATAGGGAAAACTAAAGCAATAATTTTGGGGAAATTGACAAATTTATCACCATTATCTTATGCAAAGGAAAAGATCAATAAGATAAACAATTTCAATCAGTTAATTTTGGCAGATCCAGATATTAGCAACACTTGTAAAATAGATATAATTTTGGGAGCAGACGTGTACGCAACGTTGTTATTAAATGGTGTAATTAAGGCAGAAAAAGATAATTTGGTTGCTCAAGAAACTCAGCTTGGTTGGATCATTTCAGGTGTTTTGGGTCATCAGTTAGAATTAAATGGTGTTTGTTTAATATCAACTATTGATGAATTAAATGAAAGTACGTCGGTATGAACTCCAATACATTTTTTGTTATTAGTGCTGCTTCTTCTTTTTCTCACTATGGGCGCAACCATTTTCAAGCTAAAAGTCAAATGGATGCGTTTAATGAAACGTCAAAATGCGCGTATGGCTAATTTGTTCTAAACGTGTATCTGTAGTTGAGTTTGAAGTTAATGTGTGAATAATCAAATAAATAGTACTTTTTGTATTAAAAATAAAAATAAAAGAATAAAATTAGCTGTGTAAAATTTTATCGGCGCCTATACAAGTCGATTCAAAAAAACTGTAAATGGAATACTGCACAATAAGCCAAGAAAACGAATAATTTTATCGGCACAGAATATTTTTGCAGCCGACAGAAATATCTTTTGCCACAATATTGCTATTAGTTGCAAACAAATTATTAAACATATTTTTCGACTTTACTTTATTTTATTTTTTCTTACCTAGAATAACTGTGATCCAGAAATATATGATTTCTTTCGTCCTGCATTGTATTCACAAACTTTGTTCACAAGCAAATGTTTTCATTTGAACATTGCGTGTGGTACTATTTAGTACTTTGCATTTTTGATATTCCATTAAACGCACTTATTTAAAAATGAATATGCCAATATGGCTGCACCCATAGTGTAAATAAGAAGAAGCAGTGTCTATTTAGCAACTGCATACCGGTGTGAAAGTATGAAAAAATTTTGGGAAATCGAAGAAATTTTTCCGTCACAGTTTATATCGGAAGAAGATAGTTATTGTATTGAGCATTATGACAATAATACACGGCGAAATGAAGATGGTCGTTATGTGGTTACTTTACCATTTCGTGATAATATTGAAGATTTAGGTAATTCACGAAGAAATGCTTTAGCACAATTATTGCATCAGGAACGGCGTCTCGAAAGAGATGCAAAGTTAAAACAAATGTATGATGAGTTCATCGATGAATATATTAATATGGGTCATATGGTGGAATGTGAAGATTCGGACATTCAAAGTGGCTATTATCTGCCACATCATGCAGTGTTCAAGGATAGTACAACAACTAAACTAAGAGTGGTGTTTGATGCCAGCAGGAAAACGTCTTCGGGATTGTCGTTAAATGATTGTATGATGGCGGGTCCAAGAGTTCAAGATGAATTATATAACATAATGTTGAGATTTCGTTTGTATGAAATCGCTTTCACTGCTGATGTAGCAAAAATGTATCGTCAAATTTTGGTTGCAGAGGAACAACAAAACTATCAAAGAATTTTATGGAGAAAAAACAAAAGTGAAAATATAAAAGAATATAAATTAACGACTGTGACTTATGGAACAAGTTCAGCACCTTTTGTTGCAGTAAATACACTTATAGCTATTGGAAAACAATGGCAGGACAAATTGCCAGAAGCGGCGCAGATTATTCAGAGAGATTTTTATATGGATGACTGTATGAGCTGTTGTGAGACCTTGGATCAAGCAATTAGTTTGCAAAAAGATGTTACGCAAATTCTTGCAGAGGCTGGTTTACCATTAAGAAAATGGAGTTCAAATAATATGGATTTAATAAACACAATTCCTTTGGATCAACGAGAAGGTGCTCAAACAGATGGAGAAGCTTCAATTTCAACTTTGGGCTTAAGATGGTTTAACTTAAAGGATGAATTCAGTTTCAAAATGAATCCATTTAAGGATGTAAAAACAGTAACAAAAAGAATCGTTTTATCAGAAATAACAAAAATGTATGATCCATTGGGTTTATTAGCACCATTTACAGTATTATGTAAAATATTAATGCAAAAATTATGGGTTGCGAATCTGGATTGGGATAGTGAGATTCCAAAAGAAATTGCGGTAGAATGGGAAAGTTACAAAGAAGAAATACCAATTTTATTGCAGTATCGTTTGAAACGATGGATTGAATATAAAGCTGGAGCTCAGTTTGAATTACACGGATTTTCAGATGCTTCTGAAATGGCTTATGGAGCTGTCATTTATGCTGTGGTTAAACATGAATCTATGACTTATAGTAATATAATTACTTCAAAAACTAGAGTTTCACCACTTTCAAAACAAAGTTTGCCACGGTTAGAGCTTTGTTCGGCTTTATTATTGGCTGAATTAATGGACAAGGTGTCGAAAGCATTACATGTGCCTATAGCCAAGAAATATTATTATTCAGACTCCCAAATAACATTGGCTTGGATTAAAGGAGCGCCACGAAGATGGGAAACGTATGTGGGTAATCGCGTGGCAAAAATACAGAAGTTAACAAAATTTCAAGAATGGGCGTATGTTAACACAAAAGAAAATCCAGCAGATATCGCATCTAGAGGAATGAATCCAGGAAATTTAATTCATAGTGATTTGTGGTGGCATGGACCATCATGGTTAGTGAGCAAAGAAAAAGGGAATATTGTCCCATGTGATTTTTCAACAAGCATTGGTTTGAGAAAAATGTTTGTTGGAGTAAATGTTTTGAATGATGTTAGTATCATTGAGAGATTTTCATCGTTAAATCGGGCAATACGATCAATTGCCTATTGCTTGCGTTTTATTGAAAAAGAAAAACGTATTAAGGGAAGTTTGGAAACAGATGAGTTGAAAAGAGCGAAACAGGCAATTATTAAATTAAATCAAAAGATTTATTTTGAAGATGAAATAAATTGTCTACGTAATAATATAGAAATAAATAATAGAAGCAAATTGAAGACATTATATCCATTTTTGGACGAAAATGGAATTTTAAGAGTTGGAGGTCGTCTTCAAAATTCAACGTTTGACTTTAACCAAAAACATCCAATTATAATGCCATATGATGGAGCATTAACAAAATTAATAATTGATGCTGCTCATAAAAAGGTTTTACATGGGGGAAATCAACTTACAACAATGCAAATTCGTTTGGAATACTGGATCATTGGATGTAAACGAGCGGTCAAAACATACATTAACAATTGTGTTAAATGTCATCGTTTTCGAGCTGAGTCAGCAAAACAATTAATGGGATGTTTACCTGCAGATAGAACAAGGACATTGGTGAAACCATTTACGCACACTGGTACGGATTTTTGTGGACCATTTATGATGCGTATGTCAAATAATGGACGGCTAAAAACAATAAAGGGTTACGTAGCAATATTTATATGTTTCTCAACAAGAGCTGTACATTTGGAAGCTGTGTCAGATTTAACAGCTGAAGCCTTTCTGGCAGCATTTAAAAGGTTTATTTCAAGAAGAGGTAATGTGGAAAAATTATATAGTGACAATGGCGGAAATTTTGTCAAAGCAAGAACAATTTTGCAGTTAGAAACATTGCAAGCAATAAGGGAGTTCAATGAAGAAATAAAAAGAGAATTAGCAAATTTATCTACAAAGTTTTATTACAATCCTCCAGCCTCTCCTTGGTTTGGTGGAATTTGGGAGAGAAATATCGGGTCAGTTAAACATCATTTCAAAAGAGTTGTGGGGGATAGAGTTCTTTCATACGAAGAAATGACTACAGTATTGGCTCAAATTGAGGCATGTTTAAATTCAAGGCCAATTTGTGCTTTGAATGAAAACCCTGATGATTTGTCAGTACTAACACCGGGCCATTTTCTTGTTGGAGATGCAATTATGGCACCGGTTGGTCCATCATTAATGAATTTAAAAGAAAATAGATTAGATAGATGGCAACTGTGCGAAAGAATGAAACAGGAATTTTGGCGTCGATGGGGCGATGAGTATATTTCAAGTTTACAAAAACGCACAAAATGGCAAAAAGTAGAGGAGAATTTGAAAATAGGAGATGTGGTTCTAATGAAGGATGAAATTAATCCACCATTAAAATGGCCATTAGCACGAATCGTTTCAACATTTCCAGGAAAGGATGGATTGGTTCGAGTAATAGAAGCTAAAACAGCATCAAAAATTTATAAACGAGCGATTGGACGCGTATCGAAATTGCCAATTGAAGATAATTTTGAAGAGTCATCATCAAAAACAAAAAGTAAATCATATATAAGTGGTGTCTCACCAATTGCCATAATTATGGCATTATTTTTTCTGTTTTCAGTTGTTGCTGGAACAGCAAGTTTTAATAGCACAAAAATAATTCTTGGTACTGGCAACGTAACGATTGAAAAATTTAATGAAGAACCTGGTATTTATGCTGAATCAGTTGGAAAAATCAACAATCAACAGGGTGTGTGGCAAGTTTTGGCTTCGATTGATTTAGAACCATACAACAGGAATTATGAAGCACTGAAAGAAAGCTATTTTCAGTTAGAGCATATATGCAATAAAATGAACACAAAAATTTCTAAGGAAAATTGTAATCAAATGATGGAAGAATTTTATCACAGTCTGGAAAAGATTAAGGAATATGATTCAGTAATAGCAATTCAAAAAAGAAGGAGACGAGCTGAACCAGTAACTACAATTATTGGCTTTGGCTTAGGTGCTTTATTGGGTTGGGGAGTTCCGAAAATTGTGGAATATTTTTCAACACCGGGAAATAACGTGGAGAAAATGTCAGTAATGGAGGAAATACTAAAGAATCAAACATCCGTAATGTACATGACAGAAAATTTGATTAGAAAAAATAGTGAAGTTTTACAAAAAGAGTTAAATTTTTTAATGAATCAAACAACGGATTTATTTGAGCAAGTGGATTTGATTTCGCATCATTCAGAAATGATAGAAAGAAGTCAATGGTTAACAACTCACATGTTGTTAATGTTGACAGAATTCCGGGATATGCAGGAAACAATTATGCAGCAGATTATAAATCAAAATGGCGAATTACAATCAGCTTGGATTAGACCAGAAAAAATAAAGGAACAAATAAAATTAATTGAGAAACATATATCACGTGATTTACGGTTAATGGGTAATTCATTAACAAATCAAGTTTTTTGAAAGATATAAATTATCAAGAGTGAATACAATCGTGGATAAAAATAGAATAATTTTGGTTATTAAAATTACATTGTTTCACAAACAGGAGTTTGAAGCGTATAAAATTATACCAATACCGATTGTTAAAAATGATA